AGTAAACGTTCAATAAACATACACCACCATTTTGCACATTTCACTTGGAAGTTTGATCCAAATGTATATGCAAACACGAGTAATCGTTACCAGTTCTCAAATGGGGTGTATCGTACACTATGTCGAGTTCGCACACAATGCTATTTGTATATTGACGTAATATCTTAGATTATGTAGAGGCATAGTCCCTCAGAGAGACTGTGGCAGAGGTGGTGAAGTTACACTGCAAAAAACTCATACAACTGTGATCTAATTTTAAGCGGATTGTATTAATATTTTTGGTTACTGCATTGTACTGCACGAAGTATTTATTTTAATTGAGTTCGTGATATGTCACTGACTAACAATGAATGTCTACAACGCGTATCCTAAAATCTTAACATCCATGTTTCAATAGTGATGCAGGCTGTGACATATGACCTATTGTTATATCATTGGAACAATATAGCTATATTATATTTATACAGTGTATATCAGTATACATTCCAATTAACAATCTATATTTCATTGTGTGTGTGTGAAGTGCTTACTTATTTGTGCTGCCAAGAGAAACAATACCCTCGCCGTTAGTGTGAATTATTTTGGCCGCTGAAGTGTTTTTAGTGTGATTGACAATGATCAGACGTTATTATGCTAATGTGATATGCGCATTTCAACCGTATGTGACCCCAATCTGTCATGGAACAGAGAACAGATTTTTCCTTTAAATTGAGTGCACTGGAGAAATATTGAATTCAAATGATTGCAGATACTTGTTCTTTACCCGCCATTTGTGGCTATTTACGTCATTGACGAATAGTTAGCTAGAGAACACACTATCCCCGCAATGCCAAATGTGGATAGTCCCATATGACCATTTTCTAGGGGGCATTTGAAACAGAGCTCACTACTTTGAACTACAGAGCACCATAGCGCGATTTCTGTTGCCACCGTACGTCATAGAAAAATAATGAAGCTTATTATCTCACATGAACGTGGCCCTTCATTATCGCTGAGACGAAATCGAAGGCCAAAATGACAACAAAGTTCATTTGTCACACTTGAAACTCAAATCTATTTGATCCCGATACTTTATAGTAATGAGAGTATAATCAGTAGATGCGTAATTACAAATTGATAATTTAGTTTTATGAATCAACCGGTAATACCTTCATGGTCACTGTTAAGATAACACTAAAGTATTAAGCATGATTACCGTGTGTAGGAAATGAAGGCAAAAAGGTAGGATCAATTCCCTAATAATGCAGCCAATCACACAGGTGATTAATTATATAGCATCGTTGCATGGATGACTGGTATTCTGACAAGCTGTTCAATGTCACTAATGTATATTTACTAATCATCTTGTGTATATATACTGCTACATTTGTATGATGTGCCGCATTTCAAACCTTGAATTCAAGCCACACTCATCTCGCAACAGATTGCAAAAAGGAGTCATGCTGTCAGAGTTAATACACTCCCTGAAAGGCTTTGTGAGACACGCAATAGGTAATCCTATCAATATATGTCTTGCTGAAATGACCCACGACAAAATGAAAACTGCAGGTAATAATACACGACTATGATATCCGCCAAAATTCTTTATGAGTATAGCTAAGAAGTAAAACGTGGATATCCCTAAAAACAAAATATACAGAAAATACACAGTGCTTATCAAACTCCATATAATACTATAGATGCACTGAAATAATCTGGTCATGTAGTGACTATCAAACTCCATATAATACTGTAGATGTACTGAAGTGATCTGGTCATGTAGTGACTATGAACCTCCATACCACTGTGAATGTACTGCAGTCATCTGGTCATGTAGTGACTATGAACCTCCATACCACTGTAAATGTACTGCAGTCATCTGGTCATGTAGTGACGATGAACCTCCATACCAATGTGAATGTACTGCAGTTATCCTGCCAGGTAGTGACTATGAACCCGCATACCACTGTAAATGTACTACAGTCATCTGGTCATGTAGTGACTATGAACCTCCATACCACTGTAAATATACTGCAGTCATCTGGTCATGTAGAGACTACAGTTGAATGACTATCAACTTCCATTCCACTGTGCATGTACTGCAGTGATCTGGTCATGTAGATACTATGAACCTCCATACCACTGTGAATGAACTGCAGTCACCAGGTCATATAGTGACTATGAACCTCCATAACACTGTGAATGTACTGCAGTCATCTGGTCATGTAGTGACTATAAACCT